ACGCAGAGTCTGCTGGAGATTCTCTCCTCTCCCTTTCCCCCTTCCTTCTCACTCATGTGGAATTTAAGAAACAAAACAGAGGATCATAGGGGAAGGAAGGGGAAAATAAGAGAAAATCAGAGGGAGACAAACCATAAGTGACTCAATCATAGGAAACAAAGGGTTGCTGGAAGGGAGGGGAGAGGTGCTGGGGTAACTGGGTGATAGATATTAAGGAGGGCACATGATGGGGCGCCTGGGTGGCTCAGTGGGTTAAAGCCTCTGCTTTCAGCTCAGGTCATGATTCCAGGGTCCTGGGATCGAGCCCCGCATCGGGCTCTCTGCTCAGCAGGGAGCCTGCTTCCTCCTCTCTCTCTGCCTGCCTCTCTGCCTACTTGTGATCTCCGTCTGTCAAATAAATAAATAAATAAAATCTTAAAAAAAAAAAAAAAGGAGGGCACATGATGTAACCAGCACTGGGTTTTATAGAAGACTGATGAATCACTCACCTCTAACCCAGAAACCAATAATGCATTATGTTAATTAATTGAATTTGAATAAATGAAAATAAAAAATCCTTTGTAGAAAGCGAACTAAATGGACGAGTTGAAAGCCTTGGGTCTGAATCTTGACTCTGCCACCTACTGGCTGTGTTCTGAATACCTTTCTGAGCCTCAGTTTTATCGTCCTTAAACCAGGAATAATAGTGATACTGGCTTCACAAAAAAGTCAGAGTAAATAAGGCAAAGATAACTCATGCGCTGAGCTCTCAAATAGGGCTTGCTTTAAGAAAACACTACTTCCAGGCAACATACCCATTCTTTCATCGGTCTGAGATTCTAGATTATCAAATATGGCTCTCAGTCCATCAGTTCCGTCTTAGAAGGTCTCAAACCAGCTCCTCACTGGTCAGATGTTACCACTCTCTCCCGCCTGCCTTCCCGGAGCTGCTGATGCGTCTTGTACGCACGGTTTTCAGCCATTGGTGGCTTCTCTCGTCCTCCACAGGGTACACTGCTGTGTTCATCACACAGCCCCCTGCAGCTAGCTCCACAGGTAATACAAAGCAGGCCAAGAGCTGGTTCAAACTGGACTCAGTCTTAGAGATGTTTTGGGTTGTACTGGCATTTGACTTGTGTGAGCAGAACTATTAATCCCAGAAGTTAAACCTAACTCCAGTGGATTAATAAAAAAAACTTCCTCTAGATCACAACTATGTTAACTCAGTTTTACGTGCCGGAAAATATTTGCTTTATGGTATTCGGCAGATTTTTAGAATTCTGAGATCAAACACCTAGAGGGTGAAGAATGAGTTGCTAGGGGAAGCGAGGAGGGGAAAAAGCAGAGAGATGCTTGGGGGGGGGGGGAACGCAGGAACACATACCTGGACCCAAAAAGAAGCTGTGTGACATGTGGGAGTTTTGAGATAATTATATTGAGTTCTGGGGTGATTTGCAATTGGGAAGGGTTTCAAGCGTTCCGTGGAGAGGAATACCTGAAAGGGCCACAAGATGGCGATATTACTCCAGGAGTCTCTCCCAGTCCTTCACCCCCGGTAGCTGTGCCTTCCTTTGTTCAGACTTCCTTCCCTAGCAACTGCCACTGATAACACCGGCCATTTTGTGTCTCTTCGTGCTCTTGGCCTTCCCCGAGGTCACTTTCTTGTAACTAGCCTTAATGCAAAAAATACTGATTTCATTGCTATCTGTTAAATTTTGGGGGTGTTTTTCCTTTTTTCCTTTTTTTTTTTTTTTTGGCTATTTGTTACATCTTTAAGATAGCGGTATGATCTCCGTTTTGTTGTAAAAGCAGCTGGATCAAATATTTTGTTTTAATAAGAAATATAAAATAAACCAACCAAAAACGGGTTTATCTTTCCCTTTTTGTGAGTTACCACCCAGAGAGACTTCCCAGCTAAGTGGGGTGTCACCCACCAGGCCTGGAGACAGAAACAAGTGCTCACGAGGCTAAGACAAATCCTTAGCTGAGGAGAGAGGCAGGCAGCACCCTTAAGTTGGGGCAGGAAGGAGGCTGAACCTCACCCCAGTGAATGAAAAACAAAAACCCCAAATAGTCTACCTCTTATATTTATTATGGAAAAATTCCACAATACAAAAGCTAGAATAATAGGACAGACTGGTATACAATCCTATGGAGGGTCTGATACTAGAAACCAAACTATAAAGAGGCTTGAGGCAAATGTAAGCTCGTTTGTTGAGATCACTTGAAATGTGCATTCCCGGCACCCTGGGGCACCCCACCCCCACCCCCCAGCCCCTCAGAAGAGGAAATCCTGATTTAGAGAAGGTGGAGAGGAGGGGCACTGGTTTTAGAGGGCAGCTGGGAAAGCAGACCTAAGGTGACCAATTTCAGCCCCAGAGAGGATTTGAATCCTGGTCTGGTGCCCTGCCTTGCAGAAGCTCTTTACGTGGGTGGCTTCTAGGGACACCTGAATTCCCAAAAAATTATATGGGTGGGCATTTTCCTAGGGAGAAGACTCACTACTCCCACCAGACGGGCAAAAGTCTCTGCAGCCACGGCTTATGCCCTTATCCCTTCACCCAGACCAGAAAAAAAGTCTAAAAACCCACTGTAATGTATTTTATGGATTTAATGGATTTATGGATTTAATGATAACGCTGATCCAGTCTCCCTTCTGATGGTCACACTGTTCTTTTAAATATGGCCTATGAAATCTTAATAATTAAAAAAATGGTCCTAGGGAATTAAAAACAGGTACATACAAAATATTCCTGCTAAAAAAATTTGCTGTGCATTTAGGCACTTCATACTACAAATATTACGCTAATCTGGAGGGTGCTTAATAATAACAATACCCAAGGGTGCCTGGGTGGCTCAGTTGTTAAGCATCTGCTTTTGGCTCAGATCATGATCCCAGGGTCCTGGGATGGAGCCCCACATGAGTCTCCCTGCTCAATGGGAAGTCTGCTTCTCCCTCTTCTACTCCCCCTGCTTGTGCACCCTCTCTCGCTCTCTCTGTCAAACAAAATCTTTTAAAGAATAAAAAAATAAAATAATGATACCCAAAATCATTAACAAATTAATTTGGGAAAATGTGCTTTGCTTGACAATCCATTAAATGCATCTTTCATTTTCAGGTATTTCCAAGATCATTTTGGAAATAAACACAAACATACATATTCACAGAAAATGCCCCTTACGGCTTTAATATCGAATATAACCATCATAGCTCACAAAAATAGCATAAAGTGCAAAAGCTCCATTTCAAAAGGCTTCAAATCACTCCCAAAGCAATGGAGACTAAATGCTACCACAGCCAGGGGGCCCACACCACCCTTATACGGAACAAGTCCAGAAAGTATAAAACAAGGGATGTATCTGAAAATACCATATATGTTCTGATTACATACTGTGATTATAAAATAGTCTTCAATCTGGTTTAACAGAGAGAAAGAAGCAATTCAAACAATTAGTCCTTTAGAATAGAGGCCTTTTTCTTCTTCTTCTTCTTTTTTTTTTAATCTGTAGAAGAATGTCCATAAAATCCCTTGAGAACCCCAAGCTGGCCTGCCAATTCTCTCTGGCCAGCTGGAATGGTAGCACCCAGGCAAAGAGCTGACAATGAAAGGTTCCAAGCTCATTTGGGGGAAAGGAGCTGGGGTTGGGGGTGCTCGTTGGACAAGCTTCAGCCCTCCCCCATCCCCCAGAGATGGCTGTGTGTCAGCCCCATGGGATGAAGAGCCGAGGAGACTCCATCCCACTGTCAGAACTGCAACATGGCATTGGTTCACATAAGCGTGATGAACAGGTGAGAAGTTTTGACACACCTGAGAAATCCAGTAAAAACAAGTTACAGTTTTGTTTTGTTTTTTTTTTAAGTAAGTCTGTGCTTGATGACCATCAAGCTTAGATTCCCCCAACAGAACATCTTGGATCCACAATTAATATTTTAGGCACTCATCCGAGGGACAGGCCTCGTTTCCCCCAAAATGTAGCCTGTTACCAAACAGATTCAGGTTATCTCTCCCCCATAGACCTTCGATATATTCACTGATGTGCTAATAATATAATCATAATCATAAAGAGAAATTATTTTTTTCTAAAAATTAAGATTGAATCAAACACTGGAAAATAAGAATCACCGACTTAAATGATCACTCGGTTACGAGGAGAGCAATGTTTACTATCTTAGATCCAATTCCTGCTGGTTCTCAGTCTTAGGCAAATCTATCCACGCAGAACACAAATGCGCCCGACCTGCCATGACCTAAGTCCCAAACATCACATCTCCACGTATCTGCGTTATTAGAGAAAAAAAAACAAAAGATTCTTGATTGCACATCAATTAATAAGTTATTCACTTTTTAAAATCTGAAAACCTGTAGAGCCCTATTTTTTACCAGCGATGTCCTACAACTCGTCAATCCGGAGCAGAGGCCTCTGGAAGACAGAATTCAGTTCATTATTTCTCGGGACCTATTCATGTCAGGCTCAATTTAAAAAGAAGAGTCAGCAGTAAGTCAGAATCCAGTGATGAGCTCTCAAGGGTACAGCTGACCGAGTGTATTCCAAAAGCTGCTCCTCATGAAAAATACATAACTGGCATTTATATTCCATTCAAGCGATCGGAAGAACTGTCCCCTCTAAAACACGGCTGTTCACAAGGCTATGGGGAGGGAGAGGGGAGACGAGAAGGAAATACACCAAAATATTAACAATGATTGTTCTCGGACAATAGAAATACAGACTTCTTTTTCCCTTCGACTTTCCTGTGGTTTTCCAATTTTCTTTCAAGAGTGTTTAGTGCTAGAAGAAAAGCATCCTAAATATAAGTGTAAATATAAATATGCCAGAAGTCTAACTTCAAACTAGATTGTTCAACTCCTTTCTCAATTTACCATCTTCACGCTAACAAGCTAGAGTGATTTTTGTTCAAGAGTTCAGTTTTTGTCCTCAAATATACCCATTCCGTACGTTATCAGCCCTCAGCTCATTAAAACCAATCTCTAGAAGGGCCTTGTTTTTTTGTTTTGCTTTTGTTTTTTTTTTTTTAACAGCAAAAATATCCCTTCTGATACCTTAACTAAGTCATCCGTCTTGTAGAAGACGGATGGAAACAGCCCTGTGAGCCAGGGCGCTGATTTCCTTATTTCCAGCAGTCACATTGTATCCCTATTTCCAAAGGATACTCAGAAACTTCCAGAAGAGCAAGGTCAAAGAGATGAGAGCTGGAGGTGATGATCATCAGGGACCCACCCACCCCGTTACCTGAGAGGGAGACACAGTCCCTCCCTAACTGCTGAACAGTGCTTCTGTCAATGAGGAACTCTCAAGACAGAAATTAATCCTCACACAGAACACAAACCCTTCCCGCACTTCCCTGCCTCTCCTCATCCAAGTTTCCACGCTAAGACAGCTGGGCCTGAAGCATGTGGAAGCTTCTCCCTACTTTGGAGCATTTTGATACTACAGAATGGAGGAGCCCAGAATCCATGCCAGGTGAAATTAATCTGAAGCAAGGACTGCTATTTCCCTTTAAAAAATGCTAGACCAAAGTTTTAAAACTCTCAGTGATTCCAAAAACCACCAAGGTCTCAGAGGTGCATTAGAACCCCACTAATACATAAATACCTTTTTTCAAAGTATATTTTTAAACCATAATACACAGGTACACTCCGTCAACACCAAATTTTTCACCATGGAAACCACAATTTAACTTGCATTTTCACTGCATGATATTAGGGAAATATTTAAGTTTAACCTGCAAATAAACTTAATAGAATACAACACATTTCTCACATTTGGGTTCCATCAAGATCTCTTACTGTAAATAGGGTTGTGCTAAAAAAAAAGTTACTTGAAAACCACAGAAGTAGAACAAAGTCCCTCATTTTCAAACTTTCAGTTCATTGTTCCTTATTGGACTTTTCGCCTTAGATCCTGTACAAAATTCTCAGTAAAGCAAGAGTTCCTAGACATGCCACAGACTGGTACTGCCCAACTCTTCAATCCTTGGTGACACGACTCCTGTCCTCACAAGGACACCTCGGTCCTGCCCTCTTTCACAGCGGAATGCTGCAAGGCAGGAGGTGTTGGAGGGACAGCGAGTATCCCTGAGGTCATGTATTCCACCCCCTCAAACCTCAATGACCGTTTTTGGAGTCTTCATTCAGCCCAGTGAAGAGGTTAGTGGTAGCCAGTGTCATCTGAGCTGAGGAAAAACTCAGAAGGCAACAGACTTGCCCACTGTGTAAGTGACCCGAAAAGCCAGCATGGGGTCCCCTCAGTAGTCGAGAGAAGCAGCCATCAGATGCTCAGAAAAACCACAGGAAGCACCTTGCCCTGGGAGTGCATGGAGTACAATTCCCACAGGAAACACTGGACAAAGAAGAGGCGAGGTTTTCGAGGATAACTTCCAGAATCGAAGGTTTCCCATTAGCAGAAGTTTCCAGAACTTTGTGTTTGCTCCAGATGTTAAACCAGGATCCCCACTGTGACCATCCCAAGGCCTTGACTTTAGAGTTCAGCAGCAAGGAGTGGGGCTCTGTGTGCAGATGGCTTAGCCATACCTACTCTTCTCCAAGTGTTGAAGGCCCCTGGGCTGGGGGGCAGGGGTGGGCAACAATGTCAACACTTAGAAATTGTGCTCATCTTCAAGAATGGCTTAAAGTGGAGTGTAGCTTTTGGCACAGAGGGTTTTTCTGTCCACTCCACTCTCACCTGAAGTCCCGGCTCTCAGCAGAGGTAGTAGAGAAAGGATTCACAAGCACAAGTAAAATCTGGTTACCGAGAGTCTCCGAGTAGACCAGTAGCCTCCTCAGCCACAAGCCCTGTGTGGGTTTCATTGGCTTGGTTTTATTTTAGGACTGTTTCCCCAGATGAAAATCCCTGGCATCTTCCATCAGTCAGATGGTCTTGCCTGTCACAGAGTCTGTCAGCAAGAGAGTCCACTCTGAGAGCACATGGGACCAGTGGGGTCTGGAGCAAACTCCTCCTGGGAACTGAGGCTCCCACAAGGGACCACCTTGCCATCACAAAGGATACAGCCCAACCAGTCACTGCATCTGGAAGGGATGCTGAGAAGATCTACCTGATGCCCCTCAGTTCACTTTCCATCTTGGGAAAGGGAAAGACCCTCTTCCCCCATGCACAGTGGAGTCCTGGTGAGCCACAGACTTGCTGGTTAGAGCCCAAGGGAACAAAATACTAAAAAGACAGATCCTACCCCCAACTCTACAAACCACCGGCTGTCTTTGCTGGCAAGTGAAGCCCGGTGCATGAGGAAAAATAGGCAGAGAAGCTAGCCACTGCCTTGCCATCACGTGATCTTGACCGGTGATTTCTTGCTGGCACACAGGAGGGACACATAGGGGACACCGATGAAGGCCCATTTCTCGCTGGGCCAGAACTTGATGACGGGGCCCTGCTCAGGGATCTCGGAAGCAGCGTCAAAGTAGGCAAAGCAGACGCAGCCCAGGTAGGCGGCAAGGCAGATGAGGATGTGCCTGTGAAAGGACACAGCAGGTCAGCACCCAGCCAGGGCCAACAAATATGGCCGCCTTCAGGTGACCCTGCCCTCCCCCACCCCCACGCCCACCCCACCCAGCCTGCCCTCCTTCCAAGGAGGAAGGGGGGGTAAGGTAACCAACGATCCTCGGAATAGTAGGAGAACCACAAATCTGGGGCAAACACGGCCTGTTTTAGAAAGTTCTAAAATATTCCACGTGGTGATAGAAGCAAATATGCAAATGCTTTTGGGGCTCAACCCTGAAGACTGAGGCGCAAGGATTTAAAACAGGTCCTGAGAAGATGAAACTGAGACCATCTGATTAGATCCCACCTTCTTCCTCCAATGTTGCTTACACATAGTTTATGCCCTTTATTAGGAATCCTTTTATACGGACTAAACTGCTTTTATAGTTTAGTAGGGAAACTTTCTCACTTTACTGTGTCCATAAGAAGTTGTACATGAATCCTTTAGCAAGCAAGGACCATTTAAAAGCAGGCAACCCCACCCTCTACTCTAGACTGAAATTAAATTCCAAATGAGCTAAAGATTTAAAATCCATTTTTAAAATAGAGTCAGAGAAAATATTTTTATGAACTTTGGTGGGGGAGGCCTTTCTGATATTGACAAAGTCCAGAAACCCTACAGGAAGAGATTGACCGATGTGAGAACATGACTGTTGACAACCCATATGGTACCAAAAAACCCTCATGCACTGAAAGATAAATGGGAAAGGGGGGCGTGAGATATTTGTATCATATGACCAGTTAAAATCCCTATATCCTGGAGGGTGGCTCAGTCGGTTAAGCAGCTGACTCTTGATTTGAGCTCAGGTCATGATCTGAGGATCCTGAGATCCAGCCCGGGGTCTCGCTCCTTACTGAGCATGGAGCCTGCTTAGGAGTCTCTCTCTCCCTCTCCCTCTGCCCAACCCTCTCACACACGTGCACTCTCTCTCAAAAAATAAAATAAAATCCCTATTTTCCAAAGAGCTCTCAAAAACTAATCCTTTCATAGGATGCCCTTTAACACAATCAGGGTGTGTGAAGATGGCATGATTGACCTTGGCCTCATGCTATAAACACTGAAGCTGGCCACTGCCTCCATGAGGGCTCAGTGTAGAATTCTGTCTGAGCTGATTTGCATGCAGATTTGCATAATACATACAGATACTGGACAGTAATGACTGGTTACTCTGTGCCAGACACCAGGTTGCTAGATAGAAATTTTTTAAAAATAGAAACACTGCAGGGACGACAAATGAAAAGGTACCTTTCAAACGAAGAAATGCACCCATTAAACTTAAACTGTAAAAGAGGTTCAACAATAATGCTAGTTTTTTACAAAGACATGAAAATAAAAATATTTTTAATCAGGGTAACATGAGTTAAGAGTTAATATCTAGTATATATGAAAGTATGGATAAAAGGAATTATCTTACAGACTTTAATAAAAAGTGTGCATTAATACTTCAGAGATACAGGGGCGCCTGGGTGGCTCAGTGGGTTAAGCCTCTGCCTTCGGCTCAGGTCATGATCTCAGGGTCCTGGGATCAAGCCCCACATGGGGCTCTCTGCTCAGTGGGGAGCCTGCTTCCCCCTCTCTCTCTGCCTGCCTCTCTGCCTACTTGTGATCTCTGTCTGTCAAATAAATAAGTAAAATCTTTAAAAAAATACTTTGGAGATACAGATCTATATGTACCTGTATCTAATAGGTACAGATATAATCTACAGATATATAAAATTTAACCTAAGGAAATGTGCAGGCATGTGAACAAATTACCTAATTACCTATTAATAGAGAGGTGGGCTAAATGAATTCTAAAGCATCCATACTGGGAGATATTTATTAGACACAAAAAAGTGGAAGATAATATGTATGCACTGGTAAGGAAAGTCATCCACAATCTAGTATTCCCTATGTAAGAAAAAAACAAAACAAAACACTTTATATCACCTATAGAATGACTGGACAAACTGTTGATGTGGTTTGTTGTTTCAAACCACAAACCCCTTTAAACCCACAGTGGAGGGGTGCCTGGGTGGCTCTGTCAGCTAAGCATCCGACACTTGATTTTGTTTTCTTTCTTTTTTTTTTTTTTTAAAGATTTTATTTATTTGACAGAGAGAGATCACAAGTAGGCAGAGAGGCAGGCAGAGAGAGAGGGAGGAGGAAGCAGGCTCCCTGTTGAACAGAGAGCCCAATGCGGAACTCGATCCCAGGACCCTGAGATCATGACCTGAGCTGAAGGCAGAGGCTTAACCTACTGAGCTGCCCAGGTGCCCCTGTTCTTAAAGCATCTTAACTGGGGCAAAAATAGGATTCAACTTTGAGAAAGCAGGAAGTACACCAAACTTAGAAACAAATTCAAGTCTGAGCCAACGTTATTACAATCTAATTTTTGAATTTTGCTTAAATTGCTAAGGTTACCAAGAAACTTGGATTGATAAAAATGTGTACTTACTGTACCTTGAATGAGGTCATATTTACACACGTGTGTACATTTATCAAAACTCATCCAAGTGTACACTTGAAATCTACAGTTTATTATCCCCATTATAACTCAAATTAACGTGCATAAATTCACTAGTGTGAGTCAAGGTGGAACCTAAAAAAAATACCAGGAAAAGGGTCTTAAGACTGGAATCTTCAGTTTGTGCTGTTTTACATTGTTTTGTCTTTTGCAAACAGTCCTGAGAGTCCCCAAACCTTAAACCGAGAGCAAGTTGGGTCTCATGCTCAATCTATACAAGCTCCCACGTTCAAGGGCATTCACACAAGTTCTTTGAAACCATAGAGTTTTAGGCATCACCCAATAGAAGTCAACCTTCTTCTGAATCTTGGATCTAATAAAGTTTTTCCAGCTCCTTTCCACTAGAATTCTCCCCGGAGCTCTCAATGTACAAGGGACATCGTAAAGCAGATTTCCCTTGGTCCTTGTTCTCTTTTGCAATCAGAAGTTCTGGGGCACAGAGAAACAGGGCTCTGGGTTTGGAGCTGAAGCAGTTCATAGGAAAAAACCATTCGACTTCCTCCTCAGCGTTCTGAGTGTAGGAGTCTGCATGCTGTTTAATAAACTGCTTGTGAGCGCCTGGGTGGCTCAGTTGGTTAAGCGTCTGCCTTCGGCTGAGGTCATGATTCCAGAGTCCTGGAATTGAGCCCTGCATCGGACTCCCTGCTCAGCAGGAAGTCTGCTTCTCCCTCTGCTTGTGTATGCCCTCTCTCTCTCTCTCTCTCTCTCTCTGACAAATAAATAAAATCTTAGGGGCGCCTGGGTGGCTCAATCTTTGCACATCTGCCTTTGGCTCAGGTCATAGTCCCAGGGTCTTGGGATCAAGCCCCGCATCGGGCTCCCTGTTTGGAGAGAAGCCTGCTTCTCCCTCTCCCACTCCCCCTAATTGTGTTCCCTCTCTCACTGTGTTTCTCTCTGTCAAATAAATAAAATCTTTATTTTTTGTATTTTTATTTTTTAAACTGCTTGCTGCCTTTTTTCTTTAACTTAACCACATATCCTGAGCAATCCAATGCACAGCTGCTCCAGTTCCCAATGGCTGAATTCCCAGGTGAGCAATTCTGAACAAATAATTCACTTCTCTGGGCATCCGTTTCTACCTGTAAAGTGCACAGGTGAGACTGTCCCCAGGTGACCTGTGATGCCTTCACCTGGTCACCTGGGCATCCCAGTCCCCACGTCACCTCTGTCCCAAGCCTTCCCCACCCCCACCACCCGACCCTGGGCAATCTAGCTAGAGCTCAGGTTACGGATTCAGTTTTCAGATTCCTTTATGCTTTAGTAATGGAGCCAGAGGTAAGGGACCGCAGACCCGAAGCACACACAATTAGGTCTTTTTGTCCTGGCTAAGCCTGCTCCCTGGAGCCTATGGTGCATTTGACAATACTTCCCATTGCTTCTGAAAGGTCCAACCGTCTCTGCGAGGAGAGAGGTGCCCCCAGGCTGTGCTCTATCCCCTCGCACACCCACACACACCGGGCAGGGAAAAGCACGCCCAGCAGGTGCAGACCCCGTGTGGCGGCTGGGGCTTACCACACGCAGTGCAGGTAGGGAAAGTGGAAAGACGACAGCAGCTCACAGAAGGCTCGGTCACTGATCCAGCAGAAGAGCGCCAGGGTCCACCAAAGGCCCGAGAAGAGGCCCAGCTTAAAGACACGCACGTTGTCACACCTGCACAGGGATCCAGAAAGCGAGTCAGCCTCAGTCTGGCTGTCACCCACCTTGCTGGCCCCTTCCTTCTGGCTCCTACCACCCCCCTAACCCCAGCACCTCGGCACTGGAGGTCCCACCCAACATCCTGTCACCCCCCCCAAGCTTCTGGATGTAGACTCCACATGTCCATACATAGATGACTCCCAAAGCCGTGTTCTCACCCAGGCCTCCCCCAGACTCGAGACTCACAGATGCAGCGACCGTCTGGACATGCCCACCCATGTGTAACACAGACCTAAATCTAACATGTCCTTAACGAACTCCTGTTCTCCTACATACACTGCCCCTCACTGCCTCTGTCATCAACCCCTGGCCCCTGAGGGATCCTCATATGCCTCAGATAGCCCCGCCATGTGCCCCTGACCTTAGCACTGGCTGTTGCTGCTCCCGGAATGCTCTTACTCATGTATCCACATGCTTCACTGTACTCCCAGCCTCTGCTCAAATACCCCTCAGTAAACCCTTTCCTGACCACTGCTAACAATCGCCCCACGGGCCTCCACCCATTAAGTGACATTCTTGTATCCCCCCCACCACTTCCCTCTTCTCTCCTCTGACTTCTCTGGAGGGATTCCAACCCTTCTAGCACCCTCGATGTTTACTTGTGGACAGTTGGTCTTCCCCAGGAACAGCACAGGACACACACAGGCCTCCCACTATTTGCTGTATAAAAAGAGTTCTCACGCACACCAGGACAAAATGTTTTTCAGATACCAATCCTAACAGCCCAAAGAAATTTCCGTTGCCATTTCCTTTCCTTGTTCCTGAATCGTTCATAAAGGGGAGTGACTTCCATTCCTAGGGGAGAAGGCCCGGAGGCAGCTGGTGGCCGAGGGTACTTCTCAGCCCTCCCTCAGGTCTCCGTCCCTCCATGGACTGCTCCGAGGTCAGTCAAGCTCTCTGTGACTCCAAGAAGGGGTCACAGCTATGTGTTCAGATTTGTTGCACGAGTGTCAAAAGCCCAACTGGTTGGTTGGGACCTTTCCCGGCCACCTGAGGAAGCATTGTACAAGCAGCAAAACCAGGATGGGCAGTAGGTTCAAAGGCCTCAAAAACACAAACTGGAATACCATCTTGTCAGACAGCTAAATGTCTTCCCTTGGAAACTTTTTTGAAATGATAGAGGCCGAGGCTGGAGACACTGAATTCCTACTTAGCTTTGTTGAGCACGTCGCCCTCACAGACTCCTCTCTCTCTCAGCTCAGCTTTCTCTGCCTCCTCAGGTCTCCGCTTCCAGGGCGCCTTCTCAAATAGACTTTCTCAGATGGCCCCCACCCCCGTGACATTGTCCGCCCCGTGGGCACCCACCATTTTCCTTCATAACACTCATCGCAAGCCGACATCGTTTTCGTTGCTGTAATTATTTGTTGAAGGTCTAGTATCCAGTCAGACAGTGAGCTCAACAAGAGTAGGACCTCTACCTGCTTTTCACCAAGTATATGCACTGTCTGGCCCAGAACACGCATGAAATAAATGCTTGCTGAATGAACAAATAAGGAAGTAAAGAAAAATGTTACTTGAATTCCAGTGACCTAAAGGAGCACATTTTTTTCCAGATTTTTTTTTTTTTAAAGTAACCACATTGACTGGGTACCCAATTCTCTGAATGAATGCTAGGCACTATGAAAGGCAAAATGAAAAGGACTCTTGCCTTGCTATTTTAAAGATAAAATGAAAGAGGACAAAAACAAGTGTCAACAACTACAGATAATTTGGTACAAGAGGACCCATGTACACTCAATTCAATTAAACCTAGAAACTTTGGCTTAAGAACACTCCAGAACATGGGTCAGCATGCTGGAGAGGCAGTGTGTGTGTGACATTCTGCCTCTCTTGCCAGATGATGAGTCACTTGGGAGGAAAGCCTGCAGAGTCAGGGTCCCAGGGTTGCCTGGTACTGTCCCCTCCTCTGTTTTTAGAGGGACAGGTCCTGCTACCCGCTGCTGACCAGGCCTATCTGCACTTGGGTCTTGCCCAAACCTGGGCTCCTTTGGGTTTTATTCCCACTTCTCAGGGCTCCTATCAAAAGAGATTAAAGGAAGAAAGCAGAACAAAAGTGATATATGCAGTAGAACCCTATTCTAGAATAAAAAAAAATCTGGGCTGTTATCTGTGGTTCTCCTTAACCCTTTGTTGTATTTGCAAAGTTGCCCTTAACAGACTCACTCCTATAACCAGAAAAAAAAAAAAGGGCACCTTTATTAAAATATATTCAGTGCAGCTGAGTCACTTGATAATAAGACAACACAAATTTCAGTAAATGTCCAGTCATAACCCCAAATAAAATGTCGTTGCCACATGGTCTGAAAGTTCAGAAAGGACACTGAAAATCAGGAAAGACTAGAAACAAGCTCTAGCAACAAGGCTAATGAGAAACAGAAAGCTCCCCAGCTCCTTCGGGCAGAGGGAGGCTGGACGGGAACTATTTAGCTACCGCACTACAGATTATCGCTAATGTCAGCAGAGCAGGTCCTGGAAGGAAACCCAAAGAGCAGCAAGGGCATCCCCTGTCTGGGAATTTGACCAAAGCAGGCCAACAACCATCTTCTCTTTCCTTGCTGGGACTCAGGGGGAATTAGGACACAGCAGTGAACACAGGGGCCTCATTCCTGCCCATGGAGCCAACATCAGGAAAAGGAACAACAACAACAACAAAACCCAGCACAAATAATTTTTTTTTAAAGACTTCACCCATTTATTTGGCAGAATGACACACAGTGAAAGAGAGAACACAAGCAGAGGCAGAGGGAGAGGGAGAGGGAGAAGCAGGCTCCCCGCTGAGTAGGGAGCCTGACTCAGGGCTCGATCCCAGAACGCTGGGATCATGACCCAAGTGGAAGGCAGAGGCTTAATGACTGAGCCACCCAGGCTCCCCAGCACAAATAATTTTTTAATTACAATTGGGAGGGATGCCAGAAAGAAGTCTGAGGTGCTAGGGGCAAGGAAGCCAAACAGGTGAGTTAACAATGAGACAGAAGTGAGCCAAGCAGGAGAGTCAGGAAGGGACAGCATGAACAAGGACCTGGGGGATAGGGAAGGTCAGAAGAGCGAGAGGACAGAATGAAAGGGGGAAATTCGTGAAGGACAGATCAGCCAGAGAGGGCCATGTTAGGATTTTGAACTTCATCCTAATTGCAAAATCAGCTAAAAAAAAAAAAAGAGAGACTATTAGAGGCATGCAGGGGCCATGTTGAAGATATTGAACTTAACGTCAATTGCAATGTCAACTAATAGAAAAAAGAAAGGATCCGATGGGATGTTCAGGGAAGGAAGAGGGAGTATACCTCTGCTTTGAGCAAACGGGTAGATGGTGCTCCCATTCACTGCAGCTGGAAATACTAGGAGAACCAGAACCAGAAAAGTCGGATTAGGAACCTACTTGAATTTGAGATGGCTATGAGGGGCGGACCCAGAGGTGGGGCAGGTGTCTAGACACGCCATGGTGAAGGTAGAAGGAAGGACAGAGGCAGACACACACCTGGGAGTCACTGGCACATGTTTGGTAATGAACGCTGCGGCTGTCGGTGAGATCTTCCAGGGCCAAGTGTAGAGAGGAAAGCCAAAGCAGAAGTCACCTTGAAGGACCCCCACGTGCATCGTGTGTAACGAACAAGGAGCTCATGTCAGAGACTGAAGAGAAGCGGCTGCAGTGAGTGGAGTCCCCAACAGGTGTGGCTTCCTGGCAGGCATGGGGAAGAGCACGTCAAGCATGAGGGGCGTGAACTGTGCAAAGAGCTGAGCGAAGAGCTCGTAAGATACAGGAGGGCTGAGGAACCACCACTGGGCATACAACCCAGGGGGCATGGGTGCCGAAGTGAGGCAGGAGCTAGATGGCAGTGGGCTGGAGAAGAAAAGAGAGCTGAGGGATAAAGGCAACTTTTTTTTTTTTTAAGATTTTATTTATTTATTTGACAGAAAGACAGGGAGAGAGGCAACACAAGCGGGGGGAGTGGGAGAGGGGGAAGGAGGCTTCCCTCGGAGCAGGGAGCCCAATGTGGGGCTCGACCCCAGGACGCTGGGATCATGACCTGAGCCAAAGGCAGACGCTTAACGACTGGGCCACTCAGGCGCCCCTAAAGGCAACTTTTAAAGACGTTGGGCTGTGGCACCTGGCTGGCTCAGTGGGTAGAGCATGTGACTCTTGATCTCAGGGTCTTGAGTTCAAGCCCCTTGTTGGGTGTAAAAATCACTGATAGATATAATACACACTTCTAAGACGCTGGGCTGTGACAGACAAGAGAGAAAGAGTGGTGGTTTAAGACAGACCTGGACTGGGCACAGGTGAGAGCTAGGGAAGACAGGAGATGCTCCAATGGGAAGGACTGTTTAAGGAGGGGTGAGGACCCAGGAGGCCATTTACAGGAATAAAGTATGTATAGGAGAATGGACGGAATGATCCAGAGGCTGACAGACCTAGCAGGAAGGAAGGGCACTTCCTAATGAGCTACAGTGATGGCTAGCTTTTCAGAGGCTAAGATTTTTAAGTATGAAACAGATGATTTCCTTTGTAATCATGTACAAAGATTAGAGTATTAAAGGAAAATGTGGGTAGCTGGGTAGCTCAGTTGAAGCATCTTTGGCTCAAGTCATGATCCCAGGCTCCTGGGATCAAGTCCTACGTCAGGCTCCCTACTCAGAGGTGGGGAGCCTGCTTCTCCCTCTGTCCCTCCCCTTGCTCGTGTGCACGCGCACGCTCTCTCTCTCTCAAATAAATAAGTAAAATCTTAATAAAGAAAATGTTTCCCTGCTTAAAAGCAACACTCATGAAGCAGAATTTATTCAAACCGTAATCTGCCCCTAACCACTGTCTTCCCTCATTTGTCCTTATTTAAGTACCCTGAATTAAAAATATTTTCCCTTTCCTTAAGCTGCTGGTGTAAAATTAACAAAATTTTAGGCCAAAACATAGCATCAAGAGTTAAAATGAACTAGATTGCAATGAATTCTCAAGAAAGAGAACTAAGTCCTCAACATTCTATCCAATTCGGGCCTAATATCAGCCAGCACCCCCGGACGATTACAAATCCATTTCAGATTTCTTTATTGGCAATTTGTGTGTTTTCCAAAGAGCTTCAAAATCCTGTTAGTGTTCTGAAACCAGTCTTTCCATTTTCCACTCCTTCAAGGCTACTGGGGAAAGCCAACAGACAAGACTGGACAGCACCCTTTCTCTGCCAGACACTATTTTAAATTCTTCAGTCACCTTTGACCCTGCCTGGTATGGCCAGCATTCAAAGCAGCCGCCAGAGGCAAAGCAGTGGGAAGAACCACATGTCTCCTCTCAAAACAGAGACTGAGAGAAAGCTGTTGCCACATCGCACAGAGCAACTCTCACACAAAGGAAGACAGATACAAGGAGAAAGTCATGAATTAAAATGCACTTCTCAAGATGGGCACAAAGAAAAAGCAGCATATTCTGAGTACCACCATAAGGGCAGTGATTTGATGCATTTTGGGGTTAGAGGAGAGGTCATGTACACACAAGGCTAAATTGTTTCTGGATATCAACCTGAACTTGAGCATACAACTTCCCAAAGGAAAATCCTTACGCAAATAGCGAAGGCTTTACTGGAGAGGCTGTAACTAAGACACTAAGTGTCAGAGAGACTAGCGCCGTCCACGGTATTGTGCCTGGAGTCCTTGGTGCCTTATATATAGACATTTCTTTGTGTGTGTGAATGCAACAGCCTCATTAGGACTTTTCTCCCTGGTCATCTCCTCTGAATAAATCTATTCTTTGTACAGAATTAAGTCTTGCAGGCTCGCCTAGGCACCCGCCACGTCCTTGAGATGTTCCTGCTCAGCGAGCTAGTGCACTGCACCTACGAACCAGCTGCTTGCCTCTTTCTGGAGGTGCGATCATTAACATTTTGAGCTAAACCATCCAATGTGCTCCCAACCCGACAGTCAGGAACTAACTCTACATGAAGAGTTAAACGCCTCTTCCACACTTGAGGGCAATAAAAAAACAAAACCCAAAACCAAAGCCATAAGCAAACAAAAAACAGAAGCCAGGCGCCTGGGTGGTGCGGTCGGTTAAGCATCTGACTCTCAGTTTCAGCTCAGGTCATGATCTCCGGGTCATGAGATCGAGCCCCGCGTCGGGCTCTGAGCTCAGCAGGGAGTCTGCTTGGGATTCTCCCTCCCCCTCTTTCCTTGCCCCTGTTTGTGCGCTCTCTCTCTCGCAAATAAATAAATCTAAAACAAACAAACAAAAAAATCCCAAAAAACAAAGAAGCTGTTGTGTTCCCAACCCAGGGACAGTCAGGGGCTAGGGGAGAAGAACAAAGGCACCCACCTCCTTAGCTCTGCAACGAGCAGCACGGTACAAGGAACCCCGAGAGTCATCAGAGAGATGTTGTTGATGGCGGGTTTGACGAACGCCAGGCATGTCGTCACCGCAGAAAGGACGCAGACCACTGCCTTGAACCTGCCCCTGAATCAATGAAAGTAAACCAAACAGTTAGCCAAGGAGCTCTGGTGGGTCTGCTGAACGCTGGCCGAGCGCAGGACCCGCAGGCAGGAGAGTGAGCTGAGAAGTGAGTTGTGCCCTGAGTGCCAGGAGTCTCAAACCCATTCCCACTCACGGACTCAGGAATTCCACCTCTAGCAGTTCATCCTTAGGAAATAACCACAAATTTGACAGCCATTTAGCCAGAACAATGGTAAAATGAGAATCCATCTAAGTCCCCGAGGGTCAGACATGGATAACTGTTTTCTTAGTGTTCCTTGTTTTTCTATATGTTTTTCAGAAGTTGTACAGCAGGTTCTAGCAAAGGCTTTCTGTAAAGGGTGAGAGCGGGAACGGTTTGGGTTTTGCAGGTCCTAGGACCTCCACAGCTCCCCAAGTCTGCCCCTGTGGACGGGCGGGAAGGGAATGGGCGTGGCTGTGCGCCAATAAAACTTTTTTTTTTTTAAAGATTTTATTTATTTACTTGACAGACAGAGATCTCAAGTAGGTGGAGAGGCAGGCAGAGAGAGAGAGGAGGAAGCGGGCTTCCCGCTGAGCAGAGAGCCCGATGCGGGGCTCGATCCCAGGACCCTGGGACCATGACCTGAGCCAAAGGCAGAGGCTTTAACCCACTGAGCCGCCCAGGCGCCCCTGTGCGCCAATAAAACTTGATTTGCAAAAGCAGGCAGTGGACCCTTCTGGCTTGCAGGACCCAGCCTGCCAGTTTCCGTTCCACAAGGTGAACCTGGAGGAGCTTTATAAGGAAAACAGGGACCATTTACCAACCACAATGTTCCCTAGTTTAAAAGAAAAAATCTGCACGCCTAGGTGGCTCAGTGCATTAAGCAGGCAACTCTTGATTCCTGCTCAGGTCATGATCTCTGGGTCGGGAGAATGAGCCCCTGAGCCCCCAGTGGGGCTCCATGCTCAGCAGGGGGTCTACTGGTTCTTCTCCCTCCTCCTCTGTTCCTCCCCCTCCTCCTCTGTCCTTCCCCTCACTCTTGGACATGTACGCATGTTGTGCATGCTCTCTCCTCCTCTCTCTCTCAAATAAATAAAGTATTACAAAAAAAGGAAGCAAGAAAATACCATCCCCACACCCTTCAGTGGATGTACTTTCAGTAGAAAGAGCCAGAAGTGGCGACGTGATCCTGGACATGCTCCTTCTTCTCTCCCTGGGACTCCATTTCCTTATCTATAAAATGAAAAGGCTGTACTAGATGATCCCCAAGGTCTCATCCATGACTGAAATTTAGGAGCACATGATTTTCCTGAAGTTTCTTTTATTCCTCATTAGCACAGTTTACTTTGGCAATTTACTTTGGCCACAAGCCCTGGAACAGGTCACAGTTGGGAAACTCATTTGAATGAAATTCCATTATAAAGAAATCAAAGTACACTGAAACCTCCAAAATACAAATTTATCTCTTAAAGAGGAAAACCATTTATCATCAAGGTGCAGGAAATCATTGATCAAGCTGCCAGCTTTCTGACCGGAATGAACAAGAATTGTACCCCTGAACTTCAACCAGAGAAAAAATACGAATGCAGGAAAGAGTCCAGGCAGCAAATCCTCAGGAGAATCGTGTTTTCCTCCTGGCCTTGGCTGGCATCCTAAGTTACTGGAGGAAAGGCTATCTGCTCCAGCCGGAGGATGACAGCCCGCAGCTCCCCTCCCACCCCACACCCCGCCCCCTCCCCCATCATTGCAAATGGCCCTTGGAGACCCACAATAACTCTTTCACTGGGTTTTTCAGGTTCTATAATCTATACTGAGCTTTTCAGCCTTTTTAGACTGGATAAACAGGAAAAAAAAAAAAAAAAGAACAAAACAAAAACCACTTGTAGGGGCGCCTGGGTGGCTAAGTGGGTTAAAGCCTCTGCCTTTGGCTCAGGTCATGATCTCAGGGTCCTGGGATTGAGCCCCACATCGGGCTCTCTGCTCCGCGAGGAGCCTGCTTCCCCCACTCTCTCTCTGCCTGCCTCTCTGCCTACTTGTGATCTCTCTGTCAAATAAATAAATTAAAAAAAAAAAAGCTTGTAAGTTGCATTAATTCTTTAGATCAACGGTTCAAGAGTTAGTGAAGGCAACAGTGATGTAAGCACAGATTTTCCAGCTAACAGATGTGGGTTCGCTTGCTGCTTTCATCACTTAGTAGCTGTGGTACCTCTTGGCAAGTTCTGAAACCCTCCAAACCTTGTGTTTCCCATATGAAAATGAAGACCCGCTACCCCATGGTGTTTCTAGAAACATTAAAGCCCTCAACATAGTGCCTGGTACATGGCATGTGCTAATAAAATCCACTATTAACTGTTACCATTCCCAGTGTTTGAGAGTAAATGCTATTTTAAATAGTGTTATTGTGAATAATAGCTCCTCTCAGGGAAAACCTGACGGGGCTGGTGTAGCAATCCCCAAAGGCTCTGGAGGGTATTACCAAACAGTTCAAAGGCAGCAAGCTTGACCCAATTTGCTTTAAGGAGAACAGAGCCAGACACCGCCCACATCGGTCCAGAGGTTGCAGAGGAATGCACTTCACAAAGGCGGCCACGCAGACAACACTGCAACCGGCAGAAGTCCACACAAGCCACAGAGACAGCCCACCTGACCCGAGTCACCTGAGGTCCTGGGGACAAGAGAGCTGGCCATACAAAGGAGCGTGGCGTTCTGACAGAATGCTGTCATGTCGGTGACACCTGGCAACCCCTGGTCTCTGGTCGGGCTCTCCACCTTCCAGCCCATTATGGGCTCGAAGTGGAACACCAGGTCAGGGTACCCCGATCACCCCGGCTTCCTCGATTTCCCCAAATCAAAACAGCCAACACCATCAACATAACATAACAAAGCTGCTGCTGGTGCTTCCAGGAGCCACCCTTTAGAGCAGAGGTTTGCAACCCTGTCAGACCCTGTGCTCCTTTTCTGCAGCAAATACCTGGTAATGCCCCCTTTACTCTTCCAAAGTGAAACGGATTTCACGGATGATAAAACCTCCATCATGGCAACCACCAAAACCTGTTCACAAACTTCCCAGATGTCCCTCAAGGAATGGAACTGTCCCTGGTTAAGATCCACGGCTTTACGGTGCCTTTAGGGTGGCTCAGTTGGTAGAGCAACTGCTCAGGTCATGATCCTAGCGTGCCAGGATAGAGTCCCACATTGGGCTCCCAGCTCAGCAGGGAGTCTGCTTCTCCCTCTCACCTTCCCCTTCTCCTTCTCTCTCTCTCTCTCTCTCAAATAAATAAATGAATAAAATCTTTAAAAAAAAAATCCCATGGCTTTAAACTAACTTTTAGGACTAAAATGTAATCTATGTAGAACAACCCCTGCCCATGACAGTTACAGGATTACAGCATCTGGTCCTGGCAGGTCCCTCCATGTCCTTTTCTAAGGAAGGAACTGATAAGGCCCAGAGAGTCCAAGGCCCAGGTCCCCAGTCATCCAGCTAAATGAGCCACATGGCCAGACCCCAGCCTGGTAATTCGGGACTCAAAAACTGGATGGGGTTATAAAGTGAGGGCAAAATCGTAAAAATCACAGCAGGATAAATCTATAAGAAATGGAAACAATTCACCCATCATAGTTCTTTTTTCAAGGGAGTTTTTTTTTTCCTCACAACAAAAATGTCTAAACATTACTAATAATCATCAACAGCTGAATGTATGACGATTCTTAGGACATTCTAGGCAAGATAGAAGAATTTTTTTTTAACTGACCAATTACTCCTATTTATATGGTAAACTTTAATAATTGCCCTGCTGTTCTAGACATTTTTCAAAACACTTATCCATATTAGCCACTCCTAATAACCGCTAGCCCTTACGGAGTCCTTACTCTGGACAAGATACTATACACCTTCTAGGATCTCCCCCTAGATTTCCAGCTCCATAAGGTACTCTTAATATCTGCAGTTTACAGATAAGCACAATGAGGTACCAGCTTTTAAAAAAAGGTGGGGGGGGGTGCCTGGGTGGCTCAGTGGGTTGAGCTTCTGCCTTCAGCTCAGGTCATTATCTCAGGGTCCTGGGATCAAGCCCCGCATCGGACTCTCTGCTCAGTGGGGAGCCTGCTTCTCCGCCACCCCCACCCCCCCCCGCCTGCTTGTGATCTCTGTCAAACAAATAAATAAAATCTTAAAAAAAATTTAAAAATTAAAAAAAAACAAAAATCTATTACCCAAAGCCATGTCTGTCGGATACACTCAGCCATCACGCTCTGCTGCCCCTTCTCCAGGAATCTCACATGGGAACTACTTTTAATGTGTTTTTAGAAATATTCCAGCAGGGGCGCCTGGATGGCTCAGTGGGTTAAAGCCTCTGCCCTCGGCTCAGGTCATGATCCCAGGGTCCTGGGATTGAGCCCCACATCGGGTTCTCTGATCAGCAGGGAGTCGGCTTCCCTTGCTCTCTCTCTGCCTGCCTCTCTGCCTACTTGTGATCTCTGTCTGTCAAATAAATAAATAAAATCTTAAAAACAAATAAATAAATAAAATCTTTAAAAAAAAAAAAAAGAAAGAAAGAAAAAAATATTCCAGCAAAGTGTAGGTCACAAAAAGAGACATTAACTGGTAAACTTGGACAGCTAAGCCACACGACCCCTGGTCTACAGAAACCCTTGTTTTGACATAAGTGTTTGGTCTGGCTGCCACTTGGACTCAGAGCTGTCCCCCTGTCATGGGCAGTGAGGCCCACAAAAAGGGGTTTGGTCGTCTTGCTCCCCCTGTCACTGGCAAGTTAAAGGTGGACCAATAGAGCTGAAATCCTTATGTATCGTGTGCTGCTTTCCTGTAACACACGCCTTTTCTTCATCTGCATCTACAGTTCCCATTTTTTCCTTCAACGTGTGTGTATATGTCAGAAATGCCAGGCAGGGGGCACCTGGGTGGCTCAGTGGGTTAAGCCTCTGCCTTTGGCTCAGGTCATGATCTCAGGGTTCTGGGATCAAGTCCCGCATCGGGCTCTCTGCTCAGCGGGGAGCCTGCTTCCTCCTCTCTCTCTCTCTGCCTGCCTCTCTGCCTACTTGTGATCTCTGTCTGCCAAATAAATAAATAAAATCTTTAAAAAAAAAAAAAGAAAGAAAGAAAGAAATGCCAGGCAGAAATCTCCATGCGCTACTGGCAGTACTGGAAGCGAACTCTGAGCACCCACCATGTTTCTAGTGCTCCAGGGTGCCCAGCAAGAGCCTCTCATGAGAGGATTATTTAATTTGACAAATGAGGAAACAGAAAGCGAAAGAGGCAGGACAAGTCACATCGTTTGTAAGCAGGGAAGCTAGGATTCAAAGCCAGGGAGTCACCAAAGCCAGGGACATTGACCTCTGTGGTGCTCAGGGCTCCAAAGGACTCTTCCCAAGCTGAAGACAGTGGGGTCACGTCTTCCCAGACAAATGATGCCAGCCATAGAAGGGTCCCAAGCAGTCACCTCTCTGTCCCATGGTTTGGTTTCATTATTAAAGTTGGTAAGCTTTGGGGGCGCCTGGGTGGCTCAGTGGGTTAAAGCCTCTGCCTTCGGCTCAGGTCATGATCCCAGGGTTCTGGGATCGAGCCCCACATCGGGCTCTCTGCTCAGCAGGGAGCCTGCTTCCTCCTCTCTCTCTGCCTGCCTCTCTGCCTACTTGCAATCTCTGTCAAATAAATAAATTAAAAAAAAATCTAAAAAAAAAATAAAAATAAAGTTGGTAAGCTTTGAAATTACATCCATTATCCCATTTTCTTTTCTCTGGCTCGTAACATTCCCTCGCTCCTCACTTCAAGAAATGAAAAAGACAGGGGCTGCCTGGGTGGCTCAGTTGGTGGTTAAGCATCCTACTCTTGATCTCAGCTCAGGTCTGGAAATCAGGGTCCTGAGTTCAAGCCCTGTGTTGTGCTCCCTGTTGGGTGTGGAGCCTACTTAAAAAAAGTAAGAAGAAGAAGAAGAAGAAAAATGAAAAAGAAAAAAGTTCTGTACTACGAACACACTAAAAACAGTCACGTGGAATTTCAAGTGGCATCCCCAGAGTGCCACGAACAAAACCATTCTCCAGTCTGTGGCTTCCCACTCAGCTCCCAGGACTTGAAAGATCAGATCTAAGAGCAAAGAGGTTCCTCAACTCTCTGCCTATCACCCACCAGGCTAAGGGCAGGGATGGAGGAAACTGGTGGCCACCTTCCAGCATGACAGGAAAAGCCAAGGTAAATGATGTTCCTCCACCAGAGCCCAAGAGCCCCTGCCTGTGAAGTCCCCTCATGACGCTACTTGGCACTGCCTGCCTCTGCCCTCACCCTGCCCCCCTTCTCCACCTCACCAGGCTTCCTAAGCACCCCCACTCATTCTCCTGAAGCCAGACAAGAAAGCACAAGATAAGGAACTGTAGACCACCCAAGCCAACCTGCCACACACTGAGCCTCCTCCCTCCACTGAGGAGAAGGCCACAGCCAAGGGAGACCATGTTTCTCCTGAGACCAGGAACGCCCTTCTTGTCCCCTCTTGTCAACAGCTGGCTTGCTCACTCTAGTTTTTTGGATAAGTAATCTTGAGGATTCTTTATCTGCTCCATGATACTCAAAGAAAATACTATGTAATTCAAATCCTGCTCTGTACAATGAACACCATACAGCTACTTCACCTGAAGTATGTTTTCTCCCTACCTTGTTGAAAAGCACATTTTTAGTATTAAAAAGTAACATGTGCTTTTTGTTTAAAAAAAACAAAACAAAACTGCACAATAGTAGATTAAAGGCAAAAGTGGAAGATCTCTCCCCGACTCCCTCCCCGATTCCTAAGAATAGCCAATGTTAGTGGTTGTTTATCCTCCTCCTCTAGGCATTTCTTTTCTTTCTTTCTTTTTTTTTTTTTTGAAGATTTTATTTATTATTTATTTGACAGAGAGAAACACAGCAAGAGAGGGAACACAAGCTGGGGGAATAGGAGAGGGAGAAGCAGGCTTCCTACCAAGCAGGGAGCCCGAGACAGGACCTGATCCCAGGACCCTGGGATCCTGACCTGAGCTGAAGGCAGACGCTTAACCGACTGAGCCACCCAGGTGCCCTATACTAGGCATTTCTGTGCACACACACAGTCATAAACTCGAAAAAAAATTAGCTAATTTGTTCTAAAATTATTATATATATCCCCCACACAGTTCTACCATGTGCTTTTTGCAGCCAGCATGTTTTATAGGCACTTCCCGACCTCCATCCACAGAGAACAGCCTTTGGCTTTAATAGCTCCAAAATTCCTCTTCCTCTTCACAGCACCAGGAAAACTGTAGGGAGTTCTTTTTTTCTCCTAGTATAGCTCTTCCCCGGGTACACACAGCTTGCTTAACTGAATCCATGTTTAGACTATTTATCCATACACATATGGGTCCATATAAAACATAGTGTCCTACAAAGAAATATATGTGGGTCATATGTTCTAGAAGCATTTCTCATCTTTATGAGGTTGACTCTCTCTGGTTCCTTCAGATATTGACAAACCTCATACAGCTCCTCAGAAAGGCTTTCCCTCACCAAACTCCAAATGAGCACCCTATGTCACGTCTACCCCGTCCAGCTTCATTTTTTAACTGTAGCACTTATCCTAACATTGCATTGTTTCTTTGTTCATTGATTTATAGGCTTCCCAACTTCAGTATGAGCTCACCAAAGGTAGAGACTTCACTGTTTTATTTACTGCTATATCCCAGTGCCTAGAAAAAAATGCATATTAAGTGTTTAAAAAAATATTTACTGGATAAATAACCATTTAAGCCTCACAACAGACACTGAAACGCATCCCTTCCTGAAATTCTGGATTTCCAGGTTGGAGGGGTGAGTGTGTGTGTGTGTGTGTGTGCGTGTGCGTGTGTGTTTAGATCTTAGCAGAAGTAAAACCAATACCATTTGACAACCACGGGATCTACAGCTTCAAGAACCAATTCCTTACTGGAATTCTTCTAGAAACTTATCAAGTTAAAGAACTGGACTGGAGGGGCGCCTGGGTGGCTCAGTGGGTTAAGCCTCTGCCTTCGGCTCAGGTCATGATCTCAGGGTCCTGGGATCGAGTCCCGCATCGGACTCTCTGCTCAGCGGGGAGCCTGCTTCCTCCTCTATCTCTCTCTCTGCCTGCCTCTCTGCCTACTTGTGATCTCTCTCTGTGAAATAAATAAAAAATAAAAATCTTTAAAAAAAAAAAAAAAGAACTGGACTGGACTCAAGGAAATGTTCTAGCAGAAAATCAAAGGTCTTTGAACTACCACTCAGTAACTTCTCCCCCATTGAAAATCTTTCCATTTTTGTTCATATCCTATGAGGGAGACATTTGACTTTTTATCCCTAATATCCCATCAATTCTTCACCAAGCATATTAAAATTCCCTCTTTCATCAGTTTACGGTCTGACAGAATAAAGAGTGGACATTAAACAAGTATCTGATAAGCTCATCACAGGTGAGGCTCCGTTGCCTGCTGTTTTCCTGACACTGGGTACTGCACTCAGCAGTAAATACAAAACTGTAGCACAAGCTTACCTGTCGTTCCGAAAGACCTTTGGTAGATACCTTCTGGGGAACCACATGGCCAGAGCACACATCAGAACCCAAAGGATTGCAAGTTCATCGAGCATCTGACCCAAGAAACTTAGGGTTGCGTGGAAGTAGACGGATCCAATTCCTAGAATCAATGACAACCAGTAAAAAAAGGTCACCACAGAAGAAGAGACTCACAAATTCAACACAGGCCAGCCATTCAACCAACCACTGTCACAATCGCCAGATCACACTCTCACTGAAAGAAGCAGCTGAAGGAAGAAACACACACCCCCTAGGCATGCAGACTTGAAGCCTAGAAAGAGGATTTCAAGCAGGGCCCCAAGGTCAGCACATCAGAACTCGAATAATGCCACAGTTAAACACTGTCCTCCTCCTTGGAGGCTTCAGGGGAAGAGGCAGTCAATAAAAGTCAACATTCTCTCACTGTTAAGAATTCCCAATCTGCCTGTGGAAGGAAATGGAAATTATACAAACATTTCCCAGAACAATGAAAGATCAAACATAGAGAATTTTCTTTTTTTGTTTTGATCCATTAGACTAAAGTCTCATCAGAGTTCAATCTTTGTGTGTGTGTGATTTTCTTCCGAAGTCCTCAGAAAATGGCGCTGGCACAGCACCAACAGGGTTACAGAAGTAAGCCATGAAGTGATCATTAGAGTCACCCCGGTATGCAGCCCGTGTTCAAAAGCGTCCTCCTTCGGGCGTCAAAGCAAAATAAAAGTTCACGGAGACGTCAGGGTGACTCTGGTTTACAAAAACATAATGTTCAACTAGGACAGGAAGTGTGCAGAATTCCATTTCCTCCCTTTCGGCCCCTGCTCCAACACGAATCCACTTACCCACTACAACTAAGAGCGTCCATATTAGGTAGATGCCACTGTTGAAGCATGTTGCGTACTGGCGAAATAAGCACATGCAGATGGGCGGTAAAACGAAAAATAAGACGTTGCTGATCTGGGGGAGGGAGAGGGGGATGTAAAATGAAAAGATGAATATTAAGTAAAAGGGCAAAGAAACAAAGCAGCGTGTTCCAGATATGACCCTTCTTCCAAACTGTGATGGATGTGGCCACACATCTTGCTCAAGCTGTTACATCTTTTATTTATGTATATATGTATGTATGTATTTTTTATATTTTAACTGCAAATACGGGGAAATTTAAGCCTTCTTTAATGGCCATTTGGGGGCTTCTTCCTGTCTCTTCGCAGCATTTTTACACCTACTCCCATGATCGAGCTACGAAGGCTGCCCAGCCCCCTGTCTAGATTCCAAGAATCTTCTTTTTCTGCACAAGACTACCTATAAAGCCTTTTGCTCTACTTGAACATATGTTTTTAAAAGTAAGGCCTACACTAAGTAACAGTAAAAAATAAAGTTTAATATGGAAGCAAGGACTAGACATTCCAGCTCCCCAAAATTTCTGCTAGCAAGGCCAGCTTTTTTCCTCACAAGGCAGGATGCTTCCTAGTTTCCTGTGCCTGCCCTTGTCAGTTTCTTCCCCTAATCAAACCTACTTTTAGGTAAAGATCAAACTTTCAGATTTTAGTGTGGATTTAAGCCTATTATCTTGGTGGAGGGTGGCATTTGGCTTTTCAAAAAATAAACTTATCTTCTCTAATATATTCAAATTGTCATTTCAACACTTAATCACTATTTAAATATCATTAATGAGGTATTTTCCATTCCATTCCATTTATTTTCACATAAAGCTTTGAAGTCCAGGGTGAACTTCACACTTACAGCCCGTCTCTATGTGGACCAGCCAAACTCCATGTGCTCAACATCTGCAAATGCCCAGGGATGACCGTACAGGTCAGCATAACTCTGGAACCTCAGCTCTAGGGTTTTTTTAATGTATTCTTTTGTCTTCTTGTTTCTAGGAGGTCACAACCAACTCCTGTTTTTTCCCCCTCCCAATTTTTTTTAAATCGAGGCAAAATTCACATCACATAAAATTAACCATTTTAAAGTGTACAATTCTATGTCATTATATGCCCTCAGAATATGCAACCATCACCTCCGTCTAGCTCTAAAATCTTTCATCACCCCAAAGAGAAATCCTACACCCATTAAGCAGGTACTTTCCACTCCCTCCCTACCCCCCAGCCCAGCCCCTGGAAACTGTTGATCTGCTTTCTGTGTCTATGAGTGTACCTTATTCTGGGTATTTCATGAGAGCGGAGTCACACAGTCTATGACCTTTGTGTCTGGTTTCTTTCACTTAGTACAACGTGTCTACGGTTCATCCACATTGTGGTGCGTTCAGTACTTCCTGCTTTTTCATGGCCAAATAATATTCCTTCATCCGAAGACCACATTGTTTATCTGTTCCCTCATTAATGGATTGTTGCGAACGGGGCTGCTATGAACATTCACGTACTTGTTTTCTTCTGGGTACATGCCCAAGCTGGCATTGCTGGATCCCATGGTAACTCCATGTTTAACTTACTGAGGAACCGCCAAGCTGTTTCCCACCATGGCTGGACCATGTTACCTTTCCACCAGCCCTGTACAAGGGTTCTCATAGCTCTACCACTCTGCCAACGTGTGTTATTTTCCGGTTGTTTTTGTTCTTAATGAAGGCCATCCTCCAAGGTACAAAGTGGTGGGGACATTCGGCTTTTGAAGTTTCCTTTCTAACTGTGACTCCTAAATGACAGGAGGCAGAGGAAGCGTGCAGAATGGGAAAACCACAACTAAGTCGAACTGAGCAACACCGCTGGGGAAGGGTAGGAGGATTCCACAAAAAAAAAGACTAGAAAAAAACTTTCACAGGTAGGAGGCTGGGGCAGATGAAGTCCAGAAAATCAAGGGCCTGGGCTCTTTCCAAAGACCAGTCCAGTCCCCGCTGCTGAACAACACAGAGGGAGCCCCACGAGAACCGTGAGGGTGGGTCTCTGAGTTGAACTAAAGGAGCCTGGGTAGAAAAGCTTTACCAGACGTAGGAAAATGTGCATGTGCACAACTAAACCAAACACATCAGCAACACCAGACCCCTGAGGCAGACCAGTAAAGACTGGGACAGTCAGTGACCTAGGCAGGCAGGCCTCTTTCAACATCTGGGAGCAGGAAAGGTTATAAGGGACACCACTTTTAGAAAGGCAGGGAAGAGAGGAGGGAATTCAGTCAGTGGCAAGTGGAGAACCAGATCCTGTGTCGGGGCGGGATGGATGCAGGATGGGGGTTAAGATTGAAGCCTGAAATCCCCAGTGGGGCTACCCCATTGTACAGAAAAGGGTACCTTCCTTCTAGTTCATCTGCTGAGGGGGATCTTTTCCTCCTTCTCACTGGAAAGGCCCATAAGCTACTTGCAGCCCAGGGTGAGGGTTTGGATAAATGGTGTCAGATGTCCCAGCCAGGGTGCAGTCTCCAAGCTTAGAAACAGGGCCACTCTCAGTCACTAAGCAGCAGGTAAGGAGGAACTGGGCCGAGGGTCCGCATACATTGTCAGCAGTAAGCTGTTGTTTGACTATCCCAGCCTTTGACTTTCCAAGGAGTCCTTTAAAGAACGAGAGTTCTTCAGGAGTAAAAATGAGAGTGTTTCAAGACCATCCTTCGTTTTACAAGGGGCAATGCATGAGCATCCAGAAGGGCTCTGCAGGCTGGCCCATCACCCACAGAGCAGGGGCGGGCCCTAAGCTGTTTTCCACGGCCCAGAGCTGATTTTCCCCTCCAAAGGCCCCCTTCCCTCCAGCTACACTCTGACCTCCTTGGCTGAACTCTTCGCTGGTTCTCTAAAAATTCTGACTCATCCCTGCATTGTGCACCTGTGATATGATTTAAATGCGGCTCTCCTTTCCAGGAGCAGAGAGGGAATGAAAGGGGGAGAAGGAGAAAATGGAATTATTATACCAGAGATAACTCAAAAACTGATCTTTCTCCTTTTAGACATAAACGTGTTCTCCTGTTCCGTTCTGTAATTTTGTTTCAAGTCTCCTTGCCATCCTGCTCCAGGGGGTTCCCCGTTGCCCTCGGGTTCACAGTCTTCAAGTCCCTTTCCTTGCATTTATGTGAATGCATACATATCGCGTATTAGAACATCATCGCTCTACTACTCCTCTTCTTCAACAACAGGCCGACCACAGGCTGCGCCAAACTCCTCCTCTTAGTTCAGAGAGACTGACCTCACTTGCTGTACGTGCCACATGTGGGGGCGTTATCTAGTCCTTCCCCAGGGGAAGGAGCCCCAGGGACCAGCCTCTCCTACAATGTCAGCGGTGGGGGTGGGGGCAGGACACATTTTGCTTTTTACCTCGTCTTCATTGCCTCAAACCCTTGCAATCTCCCTTGCTCCAGCCAAGTACAGCATCCGCTAAGCTGTCCCCCCGCGCCGGCTTTGTCAACGCGTGTTCTTCACTTGTTTTTGCCTTTTCAAGTTTGTATGTAAATTCTGGGTAACATATGGGGCAATGCTGGCTTCTGTGTTAAACACGTTTAAATGTATTTACACACTTTTCACAAAGATATGAAGTCATTCATTACACCTGCAGGAAAGTCATGGGACCTCAAACATTTTTTTAAATGCACGTATTAAGGAGTTCAACTTAGAAGCACCATTTGGACATCTCCCCGATGACACAGAAATCACCTTATTGCCTCTTCATAGCCCTTCTCCCAATGATGGCCCACCTCCACCATGCCTTTTAAAGCCCTCTGTCTATGAAAAGGGAAAGACCAAATCAGAGGGACACTCTCTCCCCGAGACAAAAAGAGGAAGGAACTCCAAAAGAAATACAGAAAAGCAAACAAGTCCTGGTTAAAACACACATTCAGCGGCTCCATTTCGTCTGAGAAATGAAACTTCCCCTCACAATTGTGTGGGTTACTGAAGTTGAATAGTTCAGCCAAGGGGTATTTTTTAAAGCCTGTTGTTGCTTTGGAGAACTAATTAGCTTAATGTCGGCAGAGCAGATTGTTTTAATTAAAAGGAAACCGCAATTTAAAAATGTATTAATTATTTCCTTAGAAAGTTCCTCATTCCACGAATTCCTCCGTAACATCGCCCCAAAATAATCTCAAGAACAGGCAGCAATCTCCTCCCAACGCATGGGAGTGTGCGCTTTCCCAGGCGCACAGTAAATGCTGACAAAGCAACAGGCTGTGAGATTTTCTGAACAGAAGGTTCAGAAACAGCTAAGGGGTATTCCCCAGCTGAGTAGAAGGTCTGGGCCTCTTAACTGCATGCAGATGTCTAATCCTCCATTCCATCGCTGCCCTCATGCCTTTGGGATGACCAGCTGTCCTGGCCTGCCTGGGACTGAGGAGGGTCCCCCAGGGCACGGGCAAGGCCTGGACAAACGAGGACACGTTGGCCACCCCACTCAGAAGACTTCTTGCAAAATTCCTCCACAGTACCCGAACCCCATGTGGAATACCAATAATACCTTTGCCAACCTGTGTACCTCTCAGGGTTTGACCATCACCACCCAAAAGATTGTTTGCAGGTGTGATCTCTGTGACACGCACACAGCAGCTGCCCAGTAAACAGACAGATCTAGCCATGAACAGAGACAGAATATATAGGTCATTCTGCCCTATGGGGACATGGGCCTTAGCATATCAGGAGAACTACCTTCCTTATCTTGATGGGTAGCAGAGCTCATTGGGAAAGGCAACAGATGATGGACTGGTTTTATGCAGATAATTTGCTTCGAGACTTTCTTCAGCACCAGTGGATTTCCTCCTGAGCCCCTGAGTCACTGCCCAGCAAGACAGTCCCCAAAAGTAAAGCCCTGTGGTTAAAAAGCAGACCCTACTTTTCTCTAAAGCAGTGCGTTCTAGAGTCCTTCTCTTTGGTATGACTAGAGCCTGGAAACTTAAAACATAAAAAGGAACCCACATCCATAAAACTTGTGGATGGAAGAAACAGTACAAAATGTGCAGAAACAAATGGCTATGGAAGAACATGACACGTTCTTGGAAGGGAAATGTAGGATTGGCTGAAGCAAAGGATGATGACAAGTCTTGAGGCAACAGAGATTTGCAGGGCCCCAAAGCAAAAGGCTTTGTCCACCCAAACCCTGTCAGTGCGAGTATACTATAAATCAGGGTACTCTCTCTGGTGGGCCATTTAACAACGATTATCAGTCTCTGAGTAAACTCTCTCCTTGATCTAGCAATTCCCTCCAGAATTCCCTCCAGAGGATTCGTACTTGTATAAGTCCATCCAGAAGCAGATATAAAGATATTCATTGCATCACTGCTCCAAAACCAAATCGAAAGCATAAAACAGAAACCGCCCTACATGTCCATCAATAAGAGATTGAGTGGTTAAATAAATCACGGTCAGTCCATTCAATGGAACACCGATTAGACACTGTAAAGAGGAAGGTAACTTTGAGCCAAATCTAGGACCATCTCTAAGATCTATTAAGTAAGACATCGAAAGGAGTCTGTGTAGTATGATCTCAACCGGGTTGAATGAAAACTTAGATATTGGGTGTACACATTTAACATATGTATTTTAAATACTCACACAAATGCGTGTGTTTTGTACAATGCCTGAGAAAAGGTATGAAAAGATAATACAAAAAAGTAGATTTTTCACTTTATAACTTGCATACTCTGATTTTTTTTTTTACCCTGATCGTGCTACTATTTGTGAAAATTAGTAAGTGCAAACCTCACTGAAGTTGCCTGGGGATGCTCCCTGGGGAGGCTGGAAGGAGAAGCCCACACCACTCAATGTGAATGACAGACCGGTGACAGAAGATTCCCCAAGGAACTTATTGCAGGTCCCAACAGGGAAAGATATACATTGTATCTCCCAAGAGAAATCCACTACCCCTGACCCTCAGCCAATGAGAAACAATCACCCTGAACTCTTTGCTTTTCTCCAGCTCAAAACAACCCCTCCCAACTTCCTCCTTCTCCATAAGATAACATTCCGCTCCTTTGTTTATTGGTCTTGCCTATGCTTTTGCTATAGCTTGCTTGTCCTGAATGGCAATTTTCTCTTCCTCCAAAATAAACCCATGTTTGCTGGTAAAGTAAATTTTATTTTTAAGGTGAACATTTTAAACAACTGGAACAAATAACTACACAGACTTTTTCATACCCAACATCATGAGTTCTATCCTGTAGATCCAATGGTCCCAATGCAGGAGTTTTCAGTTAAAAAATGACTGAATTATAAACAGCTGTGCTGTGCAAAATAAAGAAGTCAAAAGGAGCTACGTGACATTTCCATCCTCAGGAGAAGTATCTTTGAAGAGTCAAATGAACTAAGGTCTAACTCTAATTCTGCCATTTTCTTGACCTTGGCAAATTGCATCATCTCTCTAGACCCTGGTTTCTTCCTTTTATCAAGTGGACCTAATGACGAGTGCCCACCACCCGGGGTGATTGTGCACTACACAGCAAAGCTTCAACACCCAGCAAACAATTAATGGTAGCCAGAAGTGACGTAAGTTGTAGTACTGATGTGCTACCCCAAGACCCATTAAGAAGGTTCTAGATCCTTCTCCCAGTCATCCCCTGATTTTTATTTTCGGTTCCCGAAACTTCCTCAAAATTAGTAATGAGTAATGATTATTCTAAAATGGATAATTAGACCTGCTGCCTTCCAATGAGGATTTAATAAGCTATTTATTGCCAAGTAACTATGTTCAGTCTTCCTCAATACAAGAGAAAGAGAAGCACGCGTTTGTCCTGTGATAAGCTTCAGAAGATAAGTAGGGCAAGGAAACTGAGAGAAGGAAACAGTTTTGCTAAGCTCTTTTGGACCCAGACTCAACAAAGTCAGGAGACCAAACACTTCTCTGAGATTTAAAGCTCTCTAATGGGCTAAAGCAAATTTTGTGGTTTAGGAGTATTGCAAAGAACAAGGCCTGTCAGGAGGACCAGCCAGGCTAATCACCCACAGACACTGAAGAGCACCGGGTACTCAGAGTACCCAGCCAGCTCCAGTACTGTGTGCCCCTGTCTACCCCTGAGGGTACGCTCTGAAGGAAGGGGTTCAACAGGTGACCTGTGGCCACCTCCACTAGTCTTTCACAGGATCGATGGACAGGAGAGGGTAGGTTTTCTTGAAAAACTAACCTGGTCATAATTAAGAAGCAGGAGTGTTTGTGAGAGAGGAAGGAGGGAGAGTGCAGACTTCTGGACTGTGCCAGAAACATGAGGATGACTGCTCCCTTCTCTAGAGTTCAGTTTCATCATCAATGAATGAAAAGGCTCTGACCAGCTCATCAGAGATCCCTCCAGACTGACTCATGCCAAGTACATTCTCTCCAGAAAATCCAAGGAGAAAACCCTAACAAACAACCTCAAATTCACAGGGACTTGTAAACCAGGAGCTCCTGGTTTTTGTGTGTATTTGGGCAGCCGCAGAAATGACCATGCAGAGTCTTCCATTTGGTCTGAGAATCCTGAACCACCTCACAGGGAAAAGAAAAGGCATTTCCTTCCAGCATCAAGCTTTCCCTCCCATAAATACTAACAGCAACACCCACTACTGCGGTGGGGAAGTTTCAGCCTGCCCGTAGTGGGACCAAGGCAAGTCCACGAAACACGCACACAGTCACTCCCAAACTTCCCTCTCACTCCCCAGGCTTAATCGCTGGAGAGGGCACAGACCTGGGGGAGCTGACTTGGGTGCTGGAGTGAGCCTGTAAACTAAAGGTAAAGACATGGGAACAAGTAACAACGTGATTCTGGCCCAAAGTAATTCGACCTATTATTGGTGTGTTAGCGGGGCGGGGCCAATCAGCGCGGTGGCAGTGGGCCCTGCCCCTGAAACCTGCCCGGGACCTCCCCCCCCCCCCACCCACTCCTAGAGCAGGTATTCAGGGAGAAACCGCACAATGCGACCCAAGTGCGTCACGCCTCAGAGATCCTAGCGGAGGAAGGGAATTGTCCCGGCGGGTTCACCAGTCCCTGAGTCACCCACCTAGGTGAGGGGCTGGCGCGGACCGCTGGCTTCGGGACAGGTGCCGGTCAAACAAGACAATAGAGCCATCAGAAGGAAATGACAAGGGGTGAATAAGCCCAGATGTCGGGATAGGGACAGAAGAGGACAGACAGATGGAGAGCTGGAATGAGCGCAGAGAAGGGGGCGCACGGATCGACCCTGGCCCTGGAGAGAGCATACCCCAAATACACGCAGGGACCCATGTCCAGGTTCCCGGCGCAGCCACGATTAGGGATGGTCCCCTCCCTCCAGTCCGCCTGCCATCCCCGCTCCCGCTCCCGCTCCCGCTCCCGCTCCCGCTCCCGCACCGTGTTGTAGAACTCGGCGATGGCAGGCACGATCGTGTAGTTGTCCTCGCACCAATCCACCTCCGAGCTGCCGGCCCGCAGCTGGTCCCACCAGTGCGGGATGCTCATGGCCGCTGTGGGGCATTGGAGCAACTGCTCCCGTAGCCGAAAAGAGCCCAGTGCTGCTGCTGGAAGCCGACTACTGCGGCCTCGGTTTTATACACAACGAGTCAGCCGCCGGATGTGGCGCCTCCCCAGCCGGCCCCCTAGTGCTCAGCTCCGCCTGTTGGACGTGACTCACTCGTGGACCCCTCCCCCAGCTCCGCCCCCTGGAGGGGAAGGCGAGGGTACGAGCAGGCCACGCCCACCCTGGGGGCGGGATGCGTGTGGGAGGAGAGGCAGTCCGGAAGCGCGGACAGAGGTCCGGGCAAGTTCAGATACCCGTGCTATATGGCAGGTGGCAGGAGCCCTGACGGTCGGCCCCGTGCCTGCCCATGCCTGCCCACGCCCACCTCCCCGGCTCAGACACACAGGCGCCACCACTCCCCGCCACCCACTGAAGGATCCAGGCCCCGGTGGACTCTCAAGGAGTTTGGCACTGATCTGGCTATGCCCTGCGTGGGACGCCGGTGCTCACACTCAAGAAAGAAAAGCCCTCAGTCCCTCTGAAGTCAGTGAGGGTTTGCTGAGCAGGACCCAGTGCCATGGGCTAGAGCAGGAAGACCTTACAGGGTGGAGTGGCCGGCTCGATGACCTTCCCCACCGTAGCCTCTCCCACCCACTGTTCAGTAGAGCATTTCTGCGATTTCCAGGATGCTCTTGGTCCCCCGGACTCCAGCCTTAGGGCTTTAATCTGGTCTTCAATTAAACACAGGGTGAAACTTTAGCCATGGCAACTCTCGGAGGACACGGTGTGGCAGGTATGACCTCTCCAGGACATCCAAAGTGCAAGAGATGATGGCATATGTATAGCATTGATGATACACCAGGCACTGTTTGAGGAACTTCCATGTGTCCCTTACTTAACGTTCTCAGGGGGATCCTGCGAAGTGGGCTCTAGTGACAATGACATTCCAGCCAGTAAGGCAGAGCTAGAAATCAAACTCATCAGGATGATCTCAGACTGGCTGGTAACTACATTGCTGCTGTAGTCTCTAAAGCCGCCTCTGAGCTCCCCAGGGACTGCCCTCTCTCCGCCAGACAGTCCAGGCAAACCCTGGCTGGCCTCCAGTGTCCATCAGCAAATGCCCACACAGGCATTTGCAGGCTTCCCCAGATCTCCAGAAACTATAAGCCCCAACTCCTCCGTTGGTCTCCAGAAAAACCCAGCTTTCTTCCCCAGGGGGCAAATCACACTCCTTCATTCCTCTGTCCCAACTCTGTTCTCCTCCTAGACGGCCGGTTCCACCGTGCTGGAACCCAGGTTCACGGGTACCTTCTCCTAAGGTTGGAATGACTCAGGCCTGCAGGACACCAGGTATGAGCTGGGGGTTGGGAGGAATATTCCTCACGGCCACAGAGGACATTTAATCAGCTCATTTCCCCATGCCTCACAGCACTCCCAGTGGTCCAACACCAGTTTTCCACATTGTACTCCTTCCAGCACTTAAGTGGAAATCTATCTGTTGCCTGGGTGGCTCAGTAGGTTAAGCCTCTGCCTTCGGCTCAGGTCATGATCTCAGGGTTCTGGGATCAAGCCTTGCATCGGGCTCCCTCCTCAGCAATGAGTCTGCTTCTCCCTCTCCCTCTGCCTATGTTATCTCTCTCAAATAAATAAATATCCACAAGGTAGAAACCCTCTTCCTGTGGACATGCCAACACAAATCCGCCTCTCCGGATCTCATTCTCTCCCCAGTGCACATCAGAGCTTTTCAGAGGCTGAATGGTGTCATTATCTCTGGCGGCTTATGGAATCTGTGCTTGCGTATTTTTTGGTATTAAAAGTCTCTTTAAATGTTGACTATGACGCCCAATTGCCTCAATTGGTTAAGCATCTGCCTTCAGCTCAGGTCATGATCTCAGAGTCCTGGTATCAAGCCCCATATCGGGCTCCCTGCTCATTGGGAGCTCTGATTCTCCTTCTGCCCCTCCCCACCTCTCTCTCTCTCTCTCTCTCTCTCTCTCTCTCGCTTTGTCCCAAATAAATAAAATCTTTTAAAAAATTAAAATTAAAACAAATAAATGTTGAATATGAGGGGTGCCTGGGTGGCTCAGTCCATTAAGCATCCAACCCCTGGTTTGGGCTCAGGTCATGACTCAGGGTGGTGAGATCAAGCCCTACGGGGGGCTCAGTGCAGGATAGGGAACCTGCTTAAGATTTCTCTCCCTCGCCCTCTGCCCCTCCCCCCCCAAGAACACGTGCACTCTCTCTCTTTCAAAAATATTTTTGAATATGATAAATACTGATTGATATTACTACATGAAAGAATTTTAGGATCCTCAATCTTCAGTATAAAAGGAGTCCTCAGATCAAAAAGGTTGAGAACTGCTATTAGAAAAAAAGATATACCCAGTTAAACTCTTCGTAAGGTTTTTAATCTTTTTGAACTTTTAAATATTTATTGAATGAGAGCTTTTAGACTTAGACATATTTCTATCGCTCTTGTGTGTACATAAAAAGGGAACACAACAAACTTATTAAAGACTTCTAATTTCTTCACACTCTGAATCTCTATTCTTTTACTTAGTCATTTTTCAACTGAGTCATTGCTGTCCTCGTATTGTTAATTACCAGGCACTGGTGATGCAGCATTTCTTAACTACACTTCACTCCTGAATGCTTCCAAACCTAGGGTACATATTGTGATGCTAGCACATTCTTGATCTTACCTGGAGGTTGCAAGGAAAAGTGTTCAGACACTAGGCATCATGTTTCCTTTCCAGACAATCCTTAGGTGATCTGTTGACAGAAACATGGAGATTACAGCTGCCAAGTCATCCCATCAGGATTAACCACAGAGTTTGTGCGTGTTCAGGCAATGACAACACGTCTTGACCCCCACTTGGCCAACCGTGATTATAAGATGCCATTCACCGTAAGATGTATCTGGATTTCAGGATGTTACAATGCAAAACACTGTGACTTTTTAGCACCACTCAAATGTAGAATTCACTGGATATAAATCTTTCTTCTGCAGGTCCTGCTAGAGACTGATGAGTTTTCCTCCTACTTAGGAATTCTTACTGGCAATGACCATCCTAGTTTAAGATCAAAACCAACCACCTGGATTCTAATTACAATTGCACAGAGAGACAGTGCTAAGCCTGAGGCTACTGGCGAAAAACATCAGGGACACAAGGGACGTTTCTCCAAAGACACCAGTGTTGCTCTTCTTGGGAGTGTGTTAAAGTTTTTAGATGTTGTCATCGACTCTCCCCATTGTTGCCACTTTTTCAATGAATGTCATCTAGTAATTTAACATTAGGGCCTATCATTGGGTCATTAATTTTGAAATTGATTTATATTAACAATAGGCCTTCACAACTACCTTTAATAGTTGAATACAAAACTCTGAAATCAGGTGTAAGCAGAGAGCTTGGGGAGAGCGGGTTGGGGGATGTGACCGCAGACAACAGGGCACTCCTGATTTTTCTGACAATGACTTTCTTGTGTGGCTTTGGATCTAAATATGAGTCCATGATACAGATCCTTGAGGAGGGAAGTCAGGATGCCAGCATCTTCTCTTTTTACAGAGTTTTTAACTATGTTTATTTGGTCTAAGTAAATATCTGATAATAAATATCCAGTTCAACTCGTTCTACAAGTGGAAAATATCAAGTCACAAAGTCTTCCTTGGAAAAAATTGCAGGCACCTGTGCCAATGAAGTACGAAGTGCATGATCAAGGGTGAAATTTTCTGCGTTTTCCTGTCTGGCCAGAGTTTCTCATCATGGTCTTGCTTGAGGCTCATTGTTCAGGCCCGTGTCTCTCAAACGGCCATCCCCAGCCCAAGAGCCTCAGCATCATCTAGAAACTTCTTAGAAATGCAAAATTTTAGGTCCATACCCCAGACCTATTGACTCACAAACTCTGGAAGTGGATTCCAGCAATCTGAGGCTTAACAAACCCTCCAGGAGATTCCAACCCACACTCAAAGTGCAGAACCACTATTTGAGCCAATGTGCGCCAGGGCAAAACTCCACTGTGGACAGTAAGCTTTGGTTGCCTGAAAAAAATCAGTCAAATCCAAGCCAAGATTGCCACCACCAGTGAAAGGAAGGAGAGGACCAAAGCCCAAGAGAGACCGTCCTCTCTTTCCCCTGGTTAAGCATGAGGAAACCAAGGGGTAGAGTCTGCTTGCCCTCTTCAGTCAGGAGGGAAACAAGGAAATAAAGCAAGGGGTTTTTTTGGTTTTTGTTTTTGTTTTTGTTTTTGTTTTTGTTTTAATCTAAGACAGAGTCTCCAGGCTCAGAATTGTGCAGAAAACAGGGACTCCCCAGGACCACACACTACTGTGGCCATGTCAGGAACGTGGTCATATTTGCTGTAGTTCACGGACAGACGGTCAGAGGCTACTTCCTGCCCTTGGCCCTGGGCCCCTCTCCTTTCTCTAATCTATACTGGAAAACCACAAACAATTTGTTAGGACTGGGTATATATATAGCACAAGTCAGTCAATTCTGATTGGAAGGCTGAGGCTTTGGCCTATGCCCACAGTGCATGGAATTTGTTAACGTGGGTTTTGACGGCGCTTCTCAACAGAGAAGTTGTTACTCTGTGAGAATTAGCTTGCAAGGGGACAAGGGTCCCCTTTTTGAGCACCTTTTGAGCAATTTTGAGCACCTGCTTTGTGCAAGGCCCCATATTAAATATTCTTCTTGGCCTCCTGCAGCTGAGTCTAGTAGAGGCCCACAAACCATCAGAGTACCACAAGATAACTGCTAAAATGGAGATGTGCGGATTAAATGGGGAAGTAAGGGGTGGGGGGCTGGAGTCTGCACTGAGAGCCAATGTAGGCCCAGCAGAGGAGACCGCCTCAGAACGGAGGTGTACAAGATGAAGAGGATTTTACCAGGAACAGCAGTGCAGAAAGGGAATTCTAGGGAAGGAACAGCATGTGCAAAAGGATGAAAGTCTGAGGAAGCATAATAATTCGGGAAACTTCAAATACTGTGTTTCAGCTGGAAAAGCGACAGACAGGGAAGTCAAGCTACAAGACTAATAGGTGATCTGAGGAGTACACAGATACCAGAAACAGCTGGTGAGGTCTTTCCACAATCCAGCTGAGGGATGAGAGGACCCTGGCTAAAGCATGCT